ACCGCCATTCACGGCCGCCGGTGATTACCTGCCGGTGCCCGGTGATTACCGGCGATCACCATCAGGGAGGAGGCAAAGGCGGACTGACCATTCGGGCTCTCGGGCACTGTCTGAGGGCCTGGGGTCAGTAGGGGGCCCCATGAGATGCCCCTGGTACTTTTCATAGGATTTTTTGGGTGTGGTTTGAGTGTGGGCGAGGACACAGGGGCCCCATGATCCCCCATGAGTTGTCAGTCCGCCCCTGGGAGGAGGGCTGCTTTGTTTACCAACAGTTCTCCTCCCTGTCAGTTCAGGCACACTGCTCTGGATAGCTGAGCAGAGCCATCCAGAGCAGTGTGCTTGCAGTGAAGAACACACCCCCTGCCTCCTAGTAAAACACTCCCATCACACAGTTAACTCTTTGATTGCCACTCATTGCTAACCCCTTCCTGCCCAGTGCCATTAGTACAGTGTCAGTGTTTTTTTTTTTAGCACAGATCACTGTATTGGTGTCACTGGGGATGACAGTGACACCAAGTCAGTTCCCCCCAGTGTCAGAATGCCCGACACAGTCCCGCTATAAGTCGCTGATCGCCGCCATAAGTCGCTGATCGCCATCATTGTTAGTATAAAAAAAAAATTCCAGTATCTATATCGCCATTTGTAAACGCAAAAACTTTCACGTAAACCTATTAATTTACACATATTGGGATTTTTTTTTTAGCAAAGACATGTAGCAGAACACATTTTGGCCTAAATTTATGCCGAAATTAGATTTTTTTAAATTTTTTTACTGGACATGTTTAAAAGCAAAAAGTCAAAAATATTGTTTTTTCTCAAAATTGTTGGTCTTTTTTTTTAATAGTGAAAAAAATTAAAACCGCACAAGTGATCAAATGCCACCTAAAGAAAGCTCAATTCATGGGAAAAAAGGACGTAAATTTCATTTGGGTGGAACGTTGCATGCCCGTGCAATTGTCAGTTAAAGTAACGCAGTACCATAATGAAAACCACTTCTTTAACCGCTTCCTGACCACCCTATAGCAGAAATAGTGCTACAGTGCGGCACGGGTGCGCAAAATCACAGATATATACGTGGTTCGCACTCCCTTGGTTTTCACTCCCCTCCCAGATAGTGTCAGATTGCCCGTCCATACACCAGTAATCACATTAAACCCCTTGATTGCCAGGAACACACTCATACACAATAAACCTCAACTGCTAGTATAGTGCCTGAACAGATCAATATCTTTGATCAGATCAGCAATATACCGCCAACTCAAATTCAAACCTTGTCAGACCATTCGCCTGGAAACCCATTACGGTTTCCGAATTAAAATTTTTGTGGGCCTAACCCTCAACATGCGTATTACTAAAAAAAAAATGAATTGCTTTTGTATTGGTCCACAGACCCGATTCATCATATGCCCGTGTTCTCTGCTGCCATGGCCAGGCATAGATATGAGAATATAATGTGATTTATGCATTTCATGACAACACACTCTGTCGTCCTCGGGGTAAACCCTGAATTTGCTCCACAAAATTTCGCCCTGTGAAAGGATTAAAATGATCAAAAAGAAAATGAAAGTGACAGTGTAAAAAATAATAAAAAAATCAAAATAATTTTAAAAATATTTTTTAAAAAAAGCACCACGCGCGTACCTGCGTGTGAGAGCGTTGATCCTGTGTCGGTATGTAAACAGCGGTTGCACCATGCATGTGAGGTATCGCCGCGAACGTCAGATTAAGGGCAGTAGTTCTAGCACTAGACTTCCTCTGTAAATCTAAAATGGTAGCTTGTGAAGGCTTTTAAAGAGTTGCCTATGGATATTAAAAATGTATGCAGTTTGTCGCCATTGCACGGGGCATGTGCAGTTTTTAAAGCATGTCATGTTTGGTATCTATGTATTCAGCATACCATCATCTTTTATAAAGTACCAAATAATTGGCCAATATATTGTGTTTTTGTGCATTAAAAGTAAAAAAAGTGTATTTTTTTTTTAAAAAACAATTGTTTTCTAAAAATTTGCGTTTGAAAAATGTGACATAAAAAATTCTAGCACCCACCATTTTATTCACTAGGGTGTCTGCTTTAAAAAAAAATATATAATGTTTGGGGGTTCAAAGTAATTTCCTAGCAAAAAATACTGACTTTTTTCATGTGAACAAAAAGTGTCAGAAAAGGCTTGGTCTTCAGGTGGTTAGAAGAGTGAGTGATGTGTGGCATAAATTTCTAATGCTGGGCATAAAATGCCCCCACCCCCCAAAAACGACCCCTTTTTGGAAAGTAGACACCCCAAACTATTTGCTGAGAGGCATGTTGAGTCAATAGAAGAATTTATTTTTTTAACACAAGTTTTTTTTGGAAAATGACAAAAAAAAAAAAATTTCTTTTTACACAATATTGTCATTTAAATGATTTATTGCTCACACATGCCATGGGTATATGTGGAATTACTCCCCAAAATACATTGTTACGTCTCCCGAGTATGGGGATACCACATGTGAGAGACATTTTGGCAGGCTAGCAAAGTACAGAACCCCAAAATCCAATAAGCACCTTCAGGCTTTTAAAGGGCTTTATTTCCCCATTACACTTCCTGACTACCTATCACAGCTTCGGAGGCCTTTAGACCTTCTTTGATCTTCCTGGAGCTGATTGTTGGCTGAGTCCTTGCCATTTTGGCTATTCTTCTATCCATTCGAATGGTAGTTTTTTGCTTTTTCCACGTCTGTCAGGTTTTGGTTGCCATTTTAAAGCATTTGCGATCATTTTAGCTGAGCAGCCTATCATTTTCTGCACTTCTTTATATGTTTTCCCCCTCTCCAATCAACTTTTTAAATCAAGGTACGCTGTCCTTCTGAACAATGCCTGGAACGACCCATTTTCCTCAGAATTTCAGGGAGAAATGCACTGTAAGCAGCATGTACAACATTTGCTGCCTTCCTTCCTTAACCTCCCTAGCGGTATTCCCGAGTGTAGCTCGGGGTAAAATGTCAGTGCCAAAAGCGGTAACCGCGAGCTTCACTCGGGCTTACCATGCGGCGCTGCATAGGGAGTCCCTGCAGAGCTTACCTTGTCCTTCGCTCCCGCGATGTGTCCCTTGCAGCGTCCCCGGCCATCTCCTCCGGCCGATGCCGGCATCCGGCTTCTGTGTTCCGGTTCCTGTGATGTCGGGACGTACAGGCGGCGGCGGCGGGAAATTTGAAAATTTTAAAAAATTTTATTTTTTTTCAAAACACAGTTTTCATAGTAAAACATTGCTGTTTCAACCCATTTCACATACATATTGTCCCTAGTGCTTTGTCCTGTGCCCTGCCTGCATTTTGTCTGTTCTTTCTGCCTGGAAACTGAGAAACGTCCATGGCGTCCAAAAAGTGTCCCTTTAGGTCAAAAGCGGGTTTAGATCAGCTAGAGAACAGCGATAGTAAATCAGAACCACTTGCAGAATTGAGTGATAATGATTCGTGGAGAAATTCGTCATCAGACACTGAAAACGATTTTGCGACTTTGCTCAGCAATGTACGAACTTGGCGCTATATTTCACATTTCAGTGTTTTCGGTTTGATTATATTATTGAATTAAATTTATTATTATATTATTATTATTTTTTATGATTATTTATTAAATTTTAATTTATGATTTCGTGTTTCAAATTTTATCATACCCGGGATGTTTACTAGACTCTTGTTAGGACAGATTTCAGTGAGTTATTCCTAAAAATTACAGCCTACAATAAAAAAACTACATATATCCATGCAAAATAATGGTACCGCTTTCAGCACCAAAAATCTGAAATAATCATACCGCTAGGAAGGTTAAATAAGGGCAATAATTGCCACCTGTTTTTTCAAAAGAATGAATGACCTCACTAATAGAACTCCACACTGCTATTATTTTGAACATGCCCCTTTCAATTAGTGATTCAATTACACAGAATCAGCAGCATGCATGTCATGACTGTTGGGTCTGTTTGGAGTTTCTTATACTCTACTTACACCTGCTAGTAAATTATTTGCCATGTAGAAATATAATTTCTACCAAAAACAGTGATTGATCAGGTTAGTGATGTCTGACTGCTATTTATTTTGAACACAACTGTACATAAAAGATAAGGTTAAAAAATACTGCTGCAGTGGTACCGGACATACTGGCTTGTCACGGAATTTCACTTGATCAGTGGCATCAAGATACCATGTACAGACTTCAGCATGTACAATAAAAGGGTTACATGCTCATGTTAGTTGTGGGGTTTTTTTTGGGAATCATATTATAATATATAGAATTTAAAGCACATAAGGCGTACCCCTGCCTCTAATATTGTAACCAAATTTTGGTTAGGTGGCATTGTTGTGCGAAGTCCAGTGCATTAGAGTGTGCACCCCAAAGCTCAAACACGCATGCGTGTGTGTGTATATATATATATATATATATATATATATAATATATATATATACATATATGTATATTCTGCATATACACGCTCTAACTTCTGCTCAGCTCATACGTGACACACCACCAGAAGAAGGCATGCTGTGCGTGATCTCAGAGGCCGGTACACACCCCCCCATCCTGCCCACTTAAACATAACTGCAGTACTAGTAGAAAGCAAGGAGGAGGCAGGATCCCCCTTGGGGATGTTTCTGCAGTCCTCCACAAGAGGTAGGAGCACCTGAAACTGCTGGGGGAGATGGTAGGGGGGAGGAGATTCATCTTGATAAAGTGCATACTATCTAAGAATGTTGGCAACTATGGGTGATTAGGGTGTGCCTAGTCACAACTGGCACACCGGGTGGGCACCCCTATGGTTAGGTGGGAAAACTAGGACCCAAATAAATTAATCTTAAAATAGAACAATGTGAATAATATCAAGAGTATATAATATTATGAATGGGCAGACAAGGCTCATCATAAGCAACCTTTTTGCTTGAGTAGTGTTAAAGGAAGGAGGAAATATTAGTCTAAAGTCCTGATTGAAGCCTTTGTTAATCTAATGCTTGTTACTCTTTTGTTTATTCAGGAGCACCCCAGTAAACCAGATGTACCCTGGCTTTCTGATGCCATTTGGGTCAGTTGTTGTGATCTAGAGGAGATACTTCCATGCTTTAAAGGGATAAAAGCTGATATATTATCTTTACCAATTACCATCTCTTTAGGTAAGTGTGCGTTGATATGTATATCTGTCTACAAAAAAAATATATTTGATATAGCAGCAAACAGGGAGAAAAAAAAATTTTTTGGTTTTATATAAAACCTGTCATGCCTTCCACAATACTTCGGGAGTCATTCCACATCACCCTAAAAGCAGGAGTGCTACACATATTAATATTACCAGCAGTTTCAGTTTCAATTGTTAATAAAGGTCATATCAACTCTGTCATTAGAAGCATTAGAAATAGTTTAGTCTGGTTTTGTTCAACTTCAAGTGTGGTGTTTATTATAAAGTTATACCAAATGATTCCATAATTCATTTCTTCTGAATTACCATCAATAGGATGAAATGCTTTGGAGTGAGATAGGAATGGACGTATTTCTTACTGTCCTGCACATGATATTGTCCACATTTCTGAATATGAAAAAACACCAGTGGATATTATGGTGCACTCCTGCTATAATACGTTTGATCCATTCAAATAAACTGGCTTACAGAAAGGACCCTTTCAAGATGCTAAACAGGCATTGCGTGATTGAGCCAGTCTTTGGAACCCCCCCCCCCCCTAATATTATTATAATTTTTACTTTCTGGTACAAAACATATCCAATTAAAAAATCTAATTTCTTCATAAATTTAGGCCAATATGTGTTCTGCTACATATTTTTAGTAAAACAAAATCCCAATAAGCGTATATTAATTGGTTTACACAAACATTATAGTATCTAAAAACTATGGTATATATATACTGGATTTTGTTTTATATTAGTAATGGCGATGATCAACAACTTATAGCTGGACTGTGATATTGCGGTGGACAATCTGACACTAACTGACACTTTGTGGGAACCAGTGTTTTATTTCAGTGATCAGTCTTAAAAATATGCACTGACACTGTACCAATGACACTTTTAAGGAAGGGGTTAAACATCTAGGGTGATCAAAGGGTTAAATGTATTAACCAGGTTAACCAGTGTTTTTGTGTGTGCAGTGTGCTGTTTTCACTAAGGGATGTGCTGGTTTTTATTCCCTGGTTTGCAGGGCAACAAAATTCAGCACATCCCCACTAGTGATGGGCCGAACACCCCCTGTTCGGTTTGCGGCCGAACATTCGAACATCACTAAATTTTAACCGCAAACTTCGATCAGAGGGAAGGGACATTTCACTAAGTGGTATCTTACCACATCTGAGTATGCGGTAAGATACCGCACAGCTGCTAAACACATTCTTTCATGTTTCAGCTGTCAGCGGGGTTCCCTGCTGACAGCTGAATGTAAAAATAATTGCTGGCATTGTCTGGAAATTAAAAAATTAAAAAAGAAGCCCGTGAAGTCCCCCCCCCCAATCCATACCAAGCCCTTTGAGTCTGAGGGGAACCCCCATGCCAAAATAAAGAAAAATGGCGTGGGCCCCCCCCCCAAAATCCACCAGACCCTTATTCGAGCATGCAGCCCAGCAGGTCAGGAAAAAGGGGGGGGGGGACGAGTGAGTGCCCCCCCCAAACCATACCAAGCCACATGCCCTCAACATAGAGTGGTGCTTTGGGGTGGGGGGCTCCCCCCCAAAGCACCTTGTCCCCATGTTGATGGGGACAAGGGCCTCTTCCACACAACCGTGGCCAGTGATTGTGGGGGTCTGCGGGCGGGGAGCTTATCGGAAACTAGAAGCCCCCTTTAATGAATGTGGGATACATGGTACCACTACCCATTCACAAAAAAAAGTGTAGTGTAAAAATGACAGGAGACAGTCTTTGACAAGTTCTTTATTAAAAACAAAAATTTAGAAAATGTCCCCGGACGTAGATCCAATGTCAATCACAATGCCCACCGCTGACCTGAAAAAAAGCAAAGAAAACGCTCTACTCTTGATGCTTGCTCCCAGCTGTCTGACAGCTGCGCTGTGATGACAGTTCTTAAATAGTGTGTCACAAGGGGGTGATGTCATTTTGTGCTGTGATTGGCCAAAGCATTGCACCTGACTTGTGGTCAGGTGCATTGCTTTGGCCAATCACTATGCACTCTCAGAGCACAGTGCATTGTGGGGCACAGCGGGTGAACAGCCCACCGAACGCCCTTGCCATTTATGTGATTGCCGAACACATAAATGGCCAATGTTTGAATCAAACTAACGTTCGACTCGAACATACAGTCCATCCCTAATCCCTGCTGACAAGACAGAACTCTGCCTTGTTTACATAGGCAAAGATCTGTTCTGTTTTATCTCCTCGCTGATCAGTGGGTACTGGAAGTCATTCATTGGCTGTTACCCGCTGATCGGCTTGTGCTGTGTGTAATCCCAGTACAGCTCGGGCCGCCGGCGGTGCGTGCGTGCCCCCTACCCAGAAGTGCCGGATTATGTACTAGGCACATGATCTGGCGCAGGAGAGACACTCTGCCGCTATATAACTAGGTTATACGGTCAGCAAATTGAAGGTTATACTGTATATATCCAAACCTTTTTTAAGTTTTAGATAGAGTAAGGAAAGGTGAGAATCCATCATAGGCCACCAGCATTGCATTGCAAGGCTATGTGCTTGGTTGTAGTAGTAGTGCTGTGCTGTCTGCTGATCACAAGTCTAAGTGTACTCATAAGATACAGGTGTGTCCAGCTACCAACTTAGTAGTCTGGAGTAAAAAATGTGTTTACTAAATTATTATCTTGAGAATAATGATCTATTCATTAAGTGGAACTCTTTATATCCTTCAAAGAACTATGAAATTAGATTTCTTCCCCACACAATCAAGGCTATCAGTCTTTTGGGAATAAAAGCAAATATTGCAATCAACTTACAGTGTAAAATAACATCAAGCTCGTTAGCTACAAAATAACACTCTAATGAGAGGCGGCTTTATTTTACAAGTGGCAGACTCAGGCCACCACAGGGGAATAATTATTGTGGAAAGAAAGTAAGCTCATGGGACTATTAATTTAAAATCAACTCCATTTTGAATGTTTAGTAATTCATTCTATTCCATTTATTAAAAAAGTGGATACTGAAGTCTCAGCAGTGAACCTCATAAATAGTCACTCAGAGGACAGGCAAAGCAAAGGAAATGGGAATTTTCATGAAAGTGGACAAATAAAGATAAACAAAATTTATGAGGTGCTTAAAATAGGTCTCCAAGTTACATTAGTTCCTTAATTTGTTGTGGGTACCATTGCTTGGCTCTTAAGTGAATCGGTAGTCTTTGCCTACAGACCTAATTACAATTATAAGGATGCAAGAGCCCTGTCCTTTGACAAAGATTATTGAACCTGTAGATCTAAGCCCCTGAATCCAAAAACTGCATTGGGTTCCTTTTTAGTGAAGTATACAGTACAATTTTAGGCTAGGCTGTGCCAAAATGAATGAAGTTCTCAACAAAATATTTATCTTGAGACAATCATTTTTTTGTTTTTTTATGGATCTTAGAATCCATACTCCTCTAGCCATGATGAAAGGGAGTGCAGAAGACCCAAAACATGTCAAAACAATTGCTGTAGTACTTTCTTTTTCCTTTGTGGATCTGTAAAAGGATGCCCTCCTTTTGCAGCCATCCTTTTGAATAAAGTGTAGTACTGTAGAAGTCACTGTATGTTTACACTTACAAAAGGGGAATCCTGAAAATTGGAGCAAAGTCTTGAGAAAAGCAAATTTTCTTTCTAAAGCAATGAGTTCAATGTTATCACTCATTTTATAGGTACCCAGATTGGCATTCTTATCACTTGTAATAGAGCTTCAGCTCTACATAAGCTCAAATTTTCTTGCTCCAGCTTTGATAAAGCCCCTAAAAAGGTAATCTGGCCATATTTCCATTACCATTAGTGATGCATTGTATACAGGTTCTGATTACCTAAAGCTGGACAACAAGTGTTCTAATGTGATAAATCTGTAGCATTGGTTAAATACATTTTCCAACAAGTCCCTAATCATCATTCAAGGCCGTGTTTATCAAACTTTTTACAGTCAAGGCACCCTTTAGAATTGTGAACATTCCTGGGGCACATTAGTCTGAGACCTTCTTCACACTAGATGTGTCCAAGCACGTGAGCTTTTTTGCACGTTCCTCCGTGTTTTTCAATAAGCTGCTCTATGCTTGTGAAACACACAATAGAGGTTCTGGCATGATTTTTTAAATTGTGCCGCACCAAAATGCATTGTACTGCGGCACCTAAAAAAAATTCCACCCCCCCCCCCCCCATGTCCTGCAGGGCAGATCCCCCCTGGGGGGGGGGGGGGGTGGAATTTTTTTTAGGACTGTGCAGGGTTAGATTACTGCCCCACATGAGCAGCCTGGAGACAAGAGTACAGATAACAGCATATAGGAGGAGAGAGCCTGGAGGAGGTATGGGGTGCGCTCTCTCCCTCCTCTCTGTACAAAGATGTTAACATACCTTATATAACTGGACTGTAAAGGGCTATATTTCATTTTGCTGTGGCACCACTGAGGACTCTTTGTGGCATCCCAGGATTCCGTGGCACCCTGTTTGAAAAACCCTGATCCAAGACGCTGCACAGAATTTTTGTGGACTGAGTGGTATCAGCCCTGCCCAGTTTTCTTTTGCTAAACTACCCAAACCCTCCAACTTATCTATATGAACAACAAAGAATAATAATTCATAAGAACTAGGTAGACTAACGACTCTTCTTGAGATAGCACAGGAATTGTGCACAAGACAGCTCTGTATTTCCGATGTGATCAACAAGACGTTTTTTTGCATTTATCAAACAGATATGACAAAATGCCTTAAATAGTATAACAGGTGAAAAGGCAGCAAATATAAGATGTTCATTGTCAGTGCTTAGATATATTTTAAGTCAAATGATAGCTATATATCTTACAGAGTGTTTTTGGTTTACCTTATAATACCCCCCCCCCAGTGATTTACTTGAAGTTAATCATTTACAATGTCCAAACGTGTTCATGTGACTCCTATTTTGTTGGTATTTCTACTTAATATGTTCCAGAATTACAAAGCCAACCACTTTTTTAAGGAAATTATATATATTGTCAGTGATAATAGCTTGTCTTTATTTTCAGGGTCTCTAGAAACCCAAATTAACCCCTCTTCATTGGATGGCAATAACACCCAGATGTCTAAAGTACAACCTGGAAGGGAAAATGGAACTGTGCATGATTCATGGGATGAGAGGCTGACCTTATTTCAGAAGCTGATTCTTGTTAAAAGCATAATGGAAGAAAAGGTATGTAACTATTGTCTGTAAAATATACACCACAGGTAAAAAAAAGTTATCCCCTTAACTGAAAACATGAACACTAAGCAATACACTTAAAGTGTACTTAAAGTGTCAGCCCTATATGTCACCGCTCCTTCTTCTCTGTGTTCACTGTTCGTCACTTCACCAGAGGAGAAGGGGATTACATCTGATTTGAAATGAAATCTTGTAGCCTAAGGAAAGACTGAGTTTAGCTCTTCTACTAGCCATTCACTGGAAGATAGACTGAGTCCAGACTTGTCTGCCAGCCCCCAGCTATTCCTAGAAAAAAGACTGAAAAAGTAGCTGTCAGCTTGTCTTGTTGTTAATGAAACTAGAGATGAGCACTGTCATTCACAACACAAGTCTACTGCAACATACTTCAACTACTTTTCTTGTCTCTTTCCCAAAATAGAAGGCTAGCAGTTCTGGGCTTAGTTGTCTGACAGAGACTGGAGTACTAGCTGGCTTCTGTTATTGTGGGCATATGTTGTAGAAAATGATGGCGCTCAACTCCAGTGTGCTGTCATTAACAGCAACACAAGCTGACAGCTAGTAAACTCCACATACTATATGAAAGGCAGTGGCATAACTAGAACTGGTATCAGTAGGTTTTTTTTTAAATACTATTTTTTACATTTTTCTTAGGAACCCCGTTGGGGGGCTTAGCTAAGATATCATTAGTCTAAAAAGGAAGGAAGGAAGGAAAAAAAAAGGAAAGAACGGAAAGAATAAAGAAAGAGAAGGGAAGGAAAGGGAAGAAAAGGGAAGGAAAGGAAAGGGAAAAAGGAAGAGTACCTTTTACATCACAGTACTCACTGGGAGGCAGGAGACAAAAGGGAGGGGGGAGACTTCACTCACAGTGCATGGATGGATCAGCAGGCTGCACCCTTCCTCTTCCTACTGGGCTTCAAACTCCAGCAGTGTGGGCAGGACAGACACAGGAGCGGAGGGAGGGGTGGAAGGAGGAGGAGGAGCAGAAGCAGCTCTTTCTCCTCTCTTCGTTCCTGCAGGAAAAGGGGGAGGGACTGTCAGCACTAGCTCCTTCAGCTCAGAGTCCTGTAGGCTGCAGCCACTGAGAACACAGGGAGTGCAGTCGAAAGAAGCTGGATAGGAGGAGCAGGGGGCAGGTGACTGCATATACAGGAACTGATCTCTTCATGTTCCTCCTGCAGCCACTGAATGCCTCTTCTTTCTCCTCTTCTCCCTCCCACAGGCATTCAGCAGCTGTAGGAGGAACATGGAGAGATCGGTTCCTCTATATGCAGTCACCCCCTGCCGCACCTCCCATCCAGGCGTAAAGGGGGCCACAAAGGCTCCCTGCAGCATGGGGCTGGGTCACAATTGCAACCCCTACGCCCCCTGATGAAAGGATACTGGTGTGGTATGAGGTTGGGGGAAGGGGTCCACATACAATATACACTATCCAGCTCAATGAGAATTAGGTGGGGGTGGTGGCACTGTCTGCAGTGCTAGCTGTAACTAGGAGACATCCATAAATTAGGCTTCAGTATGGGGCGGAGCTACAGCACAGCAAATACATAAAAAAGGTGTCCTTTGGCTCTGTGGCCACATTGCACATCAGCTCAGGTAGTCAATCAGCTTCTAACTTCAGCTTGTTCAATTAAGCTATGACATAAAAGCCTGGAAGCTGATTGGTGTCTATGAAGAGCAACACCGGATGTTGCACTCTTGAGTTTTAGTAAATCAACCCCACTACATCTTTGTTACATTCTTCTAAGCCCTAATGAAGGGTGAGGCGTTACCCCCCCCCCCCCCCCAACGCTTTTGCCTTTCAAATAATCTATCATTGGAATAAATCTGTATTTGGACTTGAATATTATGGTGTGTTACTTCAGTTCTACATTCGTTTCAACAGTCTAAAGTGTCTCAGTTATCTACCAAAGCAAGTATAGTAACTGTTGGACTCTATTTAAAACCACCAAAACCTGGAAAGGTGCAGATGGGTAGGGCAATGCAAAATATAATAAAATATTCTTTCTTTCCTTTTGCTGAATATAAATTAATCTGAGTACCTCCATATTCTCTTTTTTTGGTGCAGAACCACACTTGGGTCTTAAGCTACCTTGAGTGAGTCTGGGCATCTGATTAGTTTCTGTATCTTTAAGGAGGAGGAGAGTTCATCCAAAGGATGACTGCTTTAAATTTACATAATGCTATGTTTTTCTCAAAACTGGGAACTCAGATAGTTAAGAGTTAGGGACAACACTTTACTGAGGTGCCTCGACGCAGCAGCAAGGCTTCATTATTATTTTCAAATGCATGCAAATAAAAAAACCTCTGTTTTCAGACTAAAATGATGACACTGTCTCAACAGACTTTATTTATGTTGACTAGCTGGAAAGTGTCATGGGGAATTTTTGTTTTCAATTATCTGCAAGCCACCCATTAAGGGGCATGCACAATTCTTATGAATGACCCAATCTCAACCAATTCTCTTGTCCATGCAGTATTAGGAAACTAATCGTCTTACTAAACTGAAAAGAAAATGCTGTTTGCAGATTCTGGTACAATTTCAATTAATTCTATTCTTGTTCTTTTTTTTTGTATACTCAACAATGCTTTCTTTAAATACCAGTTAATTACCATTGCTAGGATTAGAAATCGGTAGTGCTCATTTATTTAGACAAATAAAGGAAAAAACGTTTTAGCATTTTTAATTTTTACCTTGTAATAAATCTTACATTTTTGAGAAGCATGTTAAATATTTGCACACTGATAGCATTCTAAAAAGTAAAGAAGAAATATATTTAATTTTTTTTTTCATAAAGCATTATTTTATAAAGGTAAACAAAAGTGTACTTCTTAAAGAAAAGATAATGTGGAAAAATAATGAAACTTCCAATCGAAGTTAACTTAAAAGAACAACTCCAAAGTTGCTACTATCAACAGGTTGCAATATAAAGGCATGCATTCCTGTCCCACTACATTCTAATATAACTTTTAAAGGAGTTCTATGATCACAGCATACACTTTCATTTTGTAACATTATCATTGTAATAACAATACATACGATACTTTTCTTTGACAATCCAATATAAGCTAACTTGAAAAATCTCCCTGTTGTAAATGCTGCCCATTTTTGTCCATCTCTTTCCACAACTTCCTGGATTCTCTGCATGCTTTGCAGCTTCTCCGCTGCTGTTTATTTTCAATTTCTAAAGACTACATGGTACCTTGCTGTCTGCAAGCAGCGATTCCTATACAGGCTCCACCTCCTGAATCTGCTCTTTGTCAGCACTGCTGTAGTGAGGAAGGCAGGCTCTGTGAAATGTTTGACACAGCAGTACCTACTTACAAGGCATAGTGAATATGCCCTTGAACCCCTCGTATACTGTTTTGTTACTGTATTGTCTCATGTACTGTCCCCCACTACTCTGTACAGCGCTGAGCAAACTATCTGGCTCTATATAAATACTGTATAATAATAATAATATGTGCCACAGAGTTCCAGAAAGTAAATGAGTGGGGAGTTTACAGACTTCATGACTGTTCAAGATTATTGCGAGTAGGCTAGAAATAATTGAAATACAATGTGAAATGTGAAAATAAATATATGATTTTACATTTTACCCAAAGATACAATATAAACTAGAAAAGCTACAATTTCTGGGGAAATTGTGTGAAGTGTTCTTGCCTCCACCAGTAGTCTACAGCTTGAGTGGGTGAAGTAACTGGGTGGAGTGGATTGTCACTCTGCTGTCTGCTCACACACCTGGGTTCCTATGGCAGCTCACTCTACAACAAGGGCAGAGAAGAGTGGTTAAAAACAAACTTCTCCAACTTGCTCACTTCACTGGCGGTTGCCATCTTCAAACGGTTGTAGTTTAAAAATTATAAATCCTACACCAAAGGGCTTTATATTGTGAGAATCACAAGACCCAGACCTACATTTTGATGCATAGTATGTCTCTGAAATATTAAAAATGAAGGCACAGTTGCAGTTTAGAAATTGCCCTTCAAATTTGAGGTGGCTAGAGTGGAGTTTCAATGAATTTCAATGGGCGGCATGAGTTGCAAACAAATGGTCATATTGTGAAAATTATCAGAACTATGGCTTAGCCGTGGACATTTTTAGTGGCAGCAGGGGTAGTTGAACGTTTTGCTATAAGATTTGTGTAGGTGGGCTTGAAAATGAGGGAGTGATGGCAGTTTAGAAATCATGTCCTGATTTTTCAGCTCACACTCTAGCTTTTGTCAGCTCCCACTCTAGTTTTGAACATTCTGCCATTCATTCCTATGGGACCAATTTCAACACAAAAACGCTGATATTTCGTGAACCATTCGGCGAAACGTTCCACAAAGTAATAGCACACCAATCGGGAACAATCCGCACGTTTCGGTATATTACTGTCTATGTAGTGTAAAAACTGTGGGAGGAGTTAGGGTGGTAAATTTGGCTATAATAATAAGAATATATATGTGAGATAACAGTAAGTGGTCTTGCCATGCCAGAACACTTAATTACCAGCTTTAAAAATCACTCATTATGAGACATGTTCTGTCTGTCCTCACCACCACTCATTCATAAGGTCAAGGTGGCCAAAGTCAAATTCAAATGTTTGAATTCTGCCATATCAATGACTATAACAGTTACTGTATATGGGTGCAATTGATGAGCAATTATTTTCACAGAAAAGGATGTGGTATTGTATTTTCCATTGTCATTCAATATGCAAATAAGCCTCAATATAATTCTGCATTTCTCCTTAATCAACAGGAAGTCAAAGAACAGTCTGGAACAGTCCAATGCCTCTTTATGACAATACAGTGGCATAACATTGTCTTTCCCTGCTTAATACACATTCTGCCCATAGGTGTACCTTTTGTCAAACTCTGCTTTTGGAGTACCTGTACTGAAAAAATATATTCATATACATAATATCTTAGTATCAACAGATGTGTAAACTTTTTACTGAAAAGTCTAACTGAGATGCACTTTATGAATATGTATTTTCAAATTATTGTTTCTCTTATTAAGGATATGGATTTTTTTTTAGGTTGTTTTTGCGATCACAGAGTTTGTGATTCTTAATCTCGGAAAAAAATTCATTGAGAACCCACCCGTCGACCTTACTACCCTCTACCAAGACATGTCACCCTCTACACCTTTAGTTTTTATACTAAGTACTGGATCAGACCCAATGGGAGCATTTCAAAGGTTTGCAAAAGAAAAGGGATATTTGGAAAGGTAAGAAAAATCCATCAAGTGTTATAGTCATGTGCATTCATTTTCTCTCACTCTCTCTCTCCCCCAGTATTGGAAATCAATTTTACAAACACTAACTGCCTGGACCAAAGATATTAGTCAGCTAGGTCAAAGAAGCCTTTAGCCAGCATTCTAATTCCAAAACACGATCGTTTGTGTTATCACTAGTGATTTGGTTCTGAGAAATAGACTTGAACTCCTCTCCCTCCCCCCACCTATTTTTCCATCCTTTTACCTTAGGGATATCAAACTTCTTCCATAGGTTTGTGTTAAATTTCTGTTATTCATTTATATTCTTCTAACAAAAATAATCTGAGGGATTTATAATGTAATACCATTGTCAACCTACAAAAAATAAAAGTACAAATATAAATGCTCCCAAATACCCTGCAAATTGCTAGTTTTGTGTGTGGAAACTTTTTTTTTAGAAAAATATGATGTGTTTCCAATTTCTATGGTGTTATAACATTTTACATGGAAGAGTTTTAATCTTTCTCTATATTTAGTTCCAGCTCCAAAAGAACACAAGTATGGTCCTTGCAGGGTGCGTGTTTTTACATGTATATATGTGCACAAATATTCTTCTGTCTAGTGTACGCACATAAAATACTGACCAGATTTTTTTTTACTGATCTAAAAACAGCACTAGTTTATATAAGTTTATGTGCCAGTGTGTACAGGTCCATTGAAAGCAGTGGGCTGCATTTGGATCAGTAATAAAAAATGCCTAAATGTCTAAAAATGTTTAATGTTTGGCGCCTGTGTGCAAGAGCCCTTAAAGTTAAAACAAAATACAAAATTGTATAGTGTTAGAAACTCTGTAATTTTAGGCAATTTAAAGTGGTTGTAAAGACAGCTTGCCCCACAGTCCAGCCCCCCCCAATACACACCTGAGCTTGATTTCGATCCAGCTTTGTACACGAGTGCTAAGACTCTCTCGGCTTTTTTGCTGCCTCATTGGTTCAGATACAGCAGCAGGAGCCATTGGGGAGGGAGGAGGAGTGATGCTGAGCCCCGCTCTGTGTGTGTGTCATATGGACACATACAGTGTCACATACAGAACCAAGCATGCACGAGTGCCCCCATAGCAAGTGACTTGCTATGGGGGCACACAGCAGGTGGGAGTAGCGCCGGCGGGGAACCCGAGAAGAGGTGGATCTGGGTTGCTCTGAGCAAAACCATTGGACAGAGCATATAAGTGTAACATGTTTGTTATTTTCATTAAAAACAAAACAAAAAATACACAAACATTTATTATCACTTTAACTCTTACAGGGTACAGTCAATATCTCTAGGACAAGGCCAGGGACCAATTGCAGAAGGAATGATAAAAGATGGCATGAAAAACCGGGAACTGGATATTCCTACAGAACTGCCATCTGGCTGTATCGTGGATGTTACCTATGGAGGAACTTATAAAAACTTTTACAGAACCAAGTATGTGAAGTGAAAAAAATATTTTTTTTCTTTATTGCTGATTATATGGAATGCTATATAGAAAAAAGAAATTTGCATTGTATAGTATGGGGTCTCTTAATCACCCAGTGAAACTGTTAATGACATTCACCCATGTGAGATTCTATAGCACTCCTGGCATTCTCTGGTCGCATTCTCTCTATTTACACCTGGCGAATGTAGCAGGCAGTGAACAGCTGTCAAAACTCCTATGTAGAATAGATACAAAAAAAGATTTTATGTTGCAGGTGAATCTGCTGTAGCTTTCCATGGTGCTGAAACAAAACAAATTGGCAGCAGTTGATTTTGTCCCTGACTACTATCCATAAGTGGCAAAGGGAAAATTTGAGGCTGGATCCTGCGAAGGCAATATAGGTTACAACTTAGAATGGTAGGTTTGCTACCAGCAGCACACAGCTTATGTGCTGGTTACAGTCAGTAACACATTCTCATATCCTATTAATGATTCCAGTCTGCTCCCTTAACTGTCAGATTATTAAAGCTGGGTCCTCGTTTTTGCTGTCCCTTTTTGTGTTGAAATACTACACTGTGTACTTATAGTCAGTGCCAAACTGCAGAGTAAGTAAATAGGTTTCCATACTGTTCTAGTTGATCATTCTAGGTTGTACTGGAGAGTAGGCAACATGACTCTGTCAGACTTTGTGCCCTTAGTTTTGGTATTATATATGTGCCTATGACTTTTGATCATATTAGTGTGATTCTAAGGCTAAGCAGTCCACACGGTAGGTATAGGTGGCACAAGAAATTTCTGAAATACACTCCTCCACCTCTACTTTTACCCCTGTACTTCTCCAATGTGATGCATGAACCTTCACAGGATATGTAAGTATAAATACAAGAATGTTGGCACACACAATCTCCTCCAATGTTGCTTTTATTTCATATCATCTTGCTTCATAAAAAGTAACAAGCTTATGAGTTTTGGCCTTGGTCGGCCTTAGTCATAGATGGTGGCACAAGATTGTTGGCCTAGGCAGGCAGAAACTACAAATCTAGCACAGGAAACGTTGATAGACTTGTGCCTATGAATACCCAAGTAAAAGTCATGATAGTATACATGGTCCAGTAGAAATAACAAATGAACATCAGGAAATTAGATACTTGTGTTTACATGAGTACAATAAAAAATCTTGTTGCTTCCATTTTTATTTCTTATATACAGTAAGAACAGTGATCTGAAGTGAGTCAGAGCACCAGGACTTTCTTGTCTGGAAAGTATATTGAGCTTCTGCTCTCCATCCTTACATAATAGCTATTATTTGATTATGGCTTACAGGACTGTGAGGATGACAATAACATTGATTCTGTATTTATTTTTCTCTTATCTGCTTTAATCTACATCAGTTTATTGTAAAAGATAATCCCAGATCATGACGCCAGATGAACAGCTGGTTGCAAATGGCTGAATTTTCACTTTTGTATGTTACAAGATAGTTTTAAGGCACTATAGTACTGTATATATGCTGTAGCTATGCAACATTTCAGGTCTGATAGTGATCATTTTAACACCCATCCTGTAATGTTCAGTGCCATTTTTCATTATCTTTCTAGCTGGCATCATCTTGAAATGAGATCGCTGATTTGACAGGTTTCCATATAAGCTCACTGAAGAATATTGAAGTGACACTTGCCTGGTCCTTCAGTGCTCAAGGAAATCAATCTAATTTTATATTCCCTGGAAAAAATGACACAGCCCTTGAACCTCTGCTCGCCTTGGGGAAAAATGATATTGACCTAGAACCCCACAGCTAATTAAAGATTAGTTACTTTTCCTGTCATTATCATTTTGTTAAGCAGCATGGGAAAAATGCTCAGCATGAAGTCCTTTCATTTCCATCTTTTAATATCCAGTTTGGGTAGATCAAGGTGACTGATTTTACCTTTAATTAGATTCTGCTGTGTTTTATAATCTAAATGCTTTATATTACAGATGTTTCCATCAACGAGAATTTCAGATTATTTTTAAGCTCTATGCCAAGCAGAACCTTCCCTGTAACTGTACTCCAGAACTCTGTCAAGGTGAGATTATGAACAGCAGTTGAACAAGCAAACCATATGTTGAATATCACATGCATTTAAACTGATATCAGTAAAAACCTGGAGAAAATAGAAAAGTCAAGGTACTGTGCTTAGCAAACCTGCAACTAGCATGTACTGCCATAGTCAGTATTTCCACGTTTCTCTTCTATTTTTTATAAATGAACTGTGGTTCCACAAGTTATTTATAAATTATATTGGCTTTAAAATTGTCAAAATTGTCAAAAAGTAAAGGCTAAGTTCAACTTTTACATAAATAATAAATGCACATATTTTTTGCAGGTTACAAAATGTGCAGTTATGATTTTTTTTTCTCTGCAGTCTGTGAGGCATTGCACCTGCTGTCAGCAGATCCCAGATGCAAGGTCAGGCTAATGCAGATACTCAATACAGCTGTCTGCCCAGCCTTTGTATGGGCAAACAGTTACTGAATGGCAGGAAGAATCAATAAACTACGAGAACACCTATCAGTTCCTGTGGATGCCAACCTTAGATGTAGTTCCTTCATTCACAGACCTCTGTGGGCGGAGCCCTGCAAGGCCGCGTTGGTTCTAAATTCTGACAACAGGTGTGGGAGAAGATCCTCTGTCTGCTGTTACAGAGAGGGAGGATTGGGGGGGGGAGGAGGCAGGAGCTGGAACATGTTACTAAAAACAGGTGGAACATGTGACTTGTTGCAAAGGTGAACTTAAGTAGTAAGCAAGATGTCACTTGTGACATCATTGCTTACTACGTGTGAAATCTGTGAATGATCACAGAGGTCACATGGTACAGGGCTATTCACAACAGCCTTGTACCATGTGACAAGCTGTGACCAATCACAGCTCACTCAGTAGTTCTCAATGGCTTCAAGAATGCAGACAGAGCGAAAGAGAAATTATTTCTTTTACATCCTAAATGGGTGTAAAAGCAATCAGTGTAAAAAAAAAAAATCTTCATCACCCCCCACAAGTAGTACAGTGTACCATAGTGACACTGTACTGCTAGGGTGACAGTATGTAAAAAAAAAAAAAAAAACATAAATAATAGTATAAAAATGTAAAAAAAAATGTTTAAAAATTATAATTTTTGGTTATAAACTAATTTGGCTTATTTATTTTTTTTACTAAAAAGATAATGGAATACATTTTTGTCAAGATTTATGATGAAATATTATTTATTTGCAAAATTTTAAAAGAAAAACACTTTTTTTCAAAATGATTTGACTTTTTCATTTACATAGCAAAAAAAATTAAAATCCCAGCAGTGAATAAATACCACCAAAATAAAGCTTTATCTGTCTCAAAAAAATGGTAAAAAATTCATATGGGTACTGTGTTGCATGACCACGCAATTGTCATTCAAAGTGTGATAGTGCTGAAAACTGAAAATTGGCCTGGACAGGAAGGGGGTGAAAGTGTCCGGAGTTGAAGTGGTTAAAGAGTATGTTAGCCTTAAAAAAATGATTGTCCCTTTTTTGCTTCCTTTTGGTTTGTAAGCATACCTTTGAATGTGCTTTGTTTGGTAAGTGGTATACAGTACTTTCTGCAAAAAAATCTAATGCTGTCCTTAGCTCTCTGCAGTGCTATTACAATCAATGTTATTAATTCAGTACAGTTTACCACTGTTATACTCACCTGGGTGGATGCAGCATTGATCCGTTGCTGCATCTGTTCTCTGCCGGCTCTGCAGTGAGAACTGAGTGATCAGACACCTCCTCATGAAAGGACACATGCAGACATGACCGAGCTTTGCCAAAACGCACCTTGAAGATTCTAGGGCCACATGGAAAAAGGTGTTGAGGCCAAATAGTTAAATTTTAGTCTCATCTGACCATAACACTAAACGATATGTCTGGTGGAAATTCAATACAGTTCTCCATCAAAATTACACCATTCCTACAGTAAAGCATAGAGGTGGTAATATCCTGGAGCACTTGTCAGGATAGAAGGAAAAATAAGATGGGGCAAAATACCATCACATTCTTGAGGAAAATCTGTTGTCCTCTGCCAGAAAGTTGTCAATGGGAATGAGATTTACCTTCCAACATGACAATGATTCAAAGCACACAGCAAAAATGACCACATAGTGGTTGAAGGAGAAAAAGGTGGCCTAGTCAGAGCCCAGACTTGAACCCCATTGAAAATCTGTGGAATGATTTGAAGACTGCAGTCCAAACGGTCACCATCAATTTTAATTGAACTTGAGCAGTTCTGCAAAGAAGAGTGGGCAAATATTGCAAAGTTTAGATGTGAAAAATTAGTAGAGACATATCCCGACAGACTAAGGGCTGGAATTAAAGCAAAAGGTGGTTCAGCAAAATACTGACACAAGGGGGTGATCCTTTTTCCAATTCAGTGATTCTGTTTTTGATTCTAACATGTTGGTGTTATATCTTTCACTTAGATATTATAAGTTGCACTGAGTAAATACAGCTGGGTAAAACAAAAACTGTGTCTGTCTTCAATTCAGGCTGCAAACATACAGTATATTATGAGGTTTTATTGCAACATTTACCTCAAAGTGATTTTTGATGTGACTTTTACATTTTCACTACCATATTTTTGTTACTGCATATGTATTTTTTTTTCATAGGTACTTATATAGCGCCATCAATTTACGCAGTGCCTTCCATGTACAGATTATACATTCACATCAGTCCCTAACCCTCATTTATATATACACATAATAGGACCAATTTAGACAGGAGCCAATTAACCTACCAGCATGTGTTTGGAGTATGGTAGGAAACCAGAGTACCAGGAGCAAATCCACGCAGGCACAGGGAAAACATGCAAACTGCGTGCAGGTAGTGCTGTGGTTGGGATTCAAATCAACAACCCTAGTATTGCCAGGCAGAAGTGCAAACCACTTAGTCAACTGTACTTAACACAGGTCTGTGTCAAATTTGTTATAACCTGTAAAGCGACTTCAGATAATACCAAAATTTCCAAGTACTGATTAGTCCTACTACACAGCACAGCCAGCTTACGTGACATGACCTTACTGGTTAAAATAGTAGAGCCACCTCACCTTCCCACCCCCAGTCTGTTATTGAACAATGCAGAGAGAAGAGAACTGATGATTCATTCCATGGCCACTCTGCTCTTTCCTCCTGTCTGCATGTTTCTTGATGTCTTAGAGAAGACATCAAATCCAAGGAATTTCAGGTACACAAGTCAAACTGTAGAAAGAGCAACACATGCTGGGAAATGTAGAACCAAACGACCCAAAAGAAGTCATATACTTTCCATTTGTGTTTGTTTTGAGTACATACTACATAACAGTGTAGCTTATTCTTTAAATCGCCATAGTATAGGTTTGCTTAAGCAGCACAAATGTTAATTGCGCTTGCACTGATGGCCTCGAAGAGAAACAAATTGGTTAAGCTTTTCTACATTTCCTATTTTTATTCCTTGTTCTATGCAAGTCGTCCTCCTTCATTGCCCCCAAGGGGAGTACAATTTCCAGTCCATAGCTTATTCGCTTTTGAATAGGACTGAGCAGTCTGTAATAACCGCCATGTGTGTAATCATTACGTTAAAGAAAAGAATACATATGTGACATTTAGTGACACCTCGGATCTGAAATTGTCAGCGTTGAATCTGTTTACCAGCGTAACATTCATGCTGTCAGTAATGCTAAGGCTTTTAAGCCTACAGAAAAAATAAATAAAAACCTAAATTTTAAGCATGTGTAGAAGAAATGCTTGTGCAAGAGTGATTTCTGAAAGGTTTGTCATGTCTTATGCTTCTGCATAATGTGGCTGTGCGGCACTAAACTTTATCTGTGGCTCAGCTAAAGACCCTTTCATCAGAGAAAGCAAACATCATAATAATCCTTTCCGCTGTAAACGCTTCAGCTTTGAGATGTGATTACATCTTTGTCTTTGTAGAATGCTGTTTTGGAAACCACTTTCAGTGTGATTGCATCTTGCCTCCCGCAGAAATGTGCAGGTTAAAAAACCCTACGTGGTTATTAGTTACATTGATGCAAATAAATGTTTTGATAAAAATGTAAATGACTGATTGGCTGATTGCCACCTTTTAATAGCATGATTCCATGTTGTGACCTAAACCTATATGGCTTATTAGAAACTGGTAACCTTACTATTATTTTACTATATATCACACCATCAACGGTAAAGCCTGAAGTCTGCTCAAGGGCACTTTGTAACTTCAGGGAGATCAATCTGTTGAGATATACAAAACTTTTTTTTTCAATTTAAAATATTTTTTATTGACTATTTTATATTAATTATAATATATTTATATTGAAGATAGCACCAACATATGCGATAGCACCTGATAGAGAACACAGAATCCATACTATCAGACTAGAGCCAGTTTTACCTGGAAATCAAGTATCCTACTACTTTTTGCATTGTAAGAGGAAACTAGAAAAGCTACAATTTCTGGGGAAATTGTGTGAAGTGTTCTTGCCTCCACCAGTAGTCTACAACTGGAGTGGGCAGAGTAACTGGGTGGAGTGGTTTGTCACTCTGCTGCCTGCTCACACACCTGGGTTCCGATGGCAACTCACTCTAAAGCAAGGGCAGAGAAGAGTGGTTAAAAACAAACTTCTCCAACTTGCTCACTTCACTGGCAGTTGCCATCTTCAAACAGTTATAGTTTAAAAATTATAAATCCTACACCAAAGAGCTTTATATTGTGAGAATCACAAGACCCAGACCTACATTTTGATGCATAGTTCGTCTCTGAAATATTAAAAATGAAGGCACAGTCGCAAGTTAGAAATTGCCCTTCAAATTTGAGGTGGATAGAGTGGAGTTTCAATGAATGTAAATGGGCGGCGTGAGTTGCAAACAAATGGTCATATTGTGAAAACTATCAGGACTATGGCTTACCTGTGGACATTTTTAGTGGCAGCAGGGATAGCTGAACGTTTTGATATAAGATTTGTGTAGGTGGGCTTGAAAATGAGGGAGTGGTGGCAGTTTAGAAATCATGTCCTGATTTTTCAGCTCACACTCTAGCTTTTGT